TTTTTTTTTTTTTTTTTTTTGCTTTTGTTTAATTAAGTATAGCTCATTATAGTCCTTTAACATACTAGCTAGCATTTTTCTTTCAAATTGGATTTAAATTATACATGTAATAGGTTTTTTTTCCATAATTTGCAGGTTACATAATATTACTCCCACGGTTTGACTGGACAAGAAGTTTAAAAATATAAATAAGACCTTTGAATCTTGTGGTCTTTAACTGATATAACATATCAAAAACACCATTTGAATCTTGTGGTTTTAAACAAGTCATGTTATTCCTATAAGTGAGTGTCATTATCGAAATTAAAAAGTTACTAAAATATAAAATGAGGCATCCTTTTTTTATACAGGAAATAATTAAGACTATGAGACGGAGAGAGTACTTATTATAGGGTTTTAAGTGATCACTAGTGTCAAAAAATCTTGTACGTCCGTGTATAGAAGCTAAACTTTTTTCTTTTGTATGAATTTAAAAATTGCAGCTCGGTGCACTAAGCTCCCGCTATGTGCGGGGTCCGGAGAAGGGCCGGACCACAAGGGTCTATCGTAAGTAATTCTTTTGTATGAATTATGAATTGTATATTTTGACTGAGAAACGAATNCCAAAAACAAACAAATTAAAACCCCACTTCTCGTCCGTTTATCCATCAAAAGGATAAACATAAATTCATACAATTAAATCATGAGGGCCATGGCATGATCATATACAAGTGCCACAGTTGTCTACAATAGCTAGTAATAAACAAGCTATATCTATAATTTCTCAACTCGTGCCTAAGTAAATTGTGTCATTTAAAGTGAGATGGAAAGACTACTTGTATACATATTTAGGTCACCGTGTTGGGGGTATTTCCGACATGACCTTCTTATTACTGTTCTTCGGTTCACACTCGTCGAGAATTGTTTTCCTTGAGCCGACTCCATAAGATAGGGGTAAGGTTTGCGTACACTTTACCTTTCCCAAACCCCACAATGTGGGATTATACTGTGTGTTATGTTATTGTTGTTAGTTGGAGGGGGAGGTTATAATCTATGTTGCACAGACTCGCCAAAATGTTGTCGCAGTCAGATCCTCAAAAAATATACTACTTTAGAAGATTCGACACACACATCCAGCGATATTTTTGGAGAGTCCGAGCAAAAATGTGTTCGTACGGAGTATTGTATAAACCCCTATTAAAAGGCGACCAAAAGGGAAAAAGTTCTGTAGTTTTTTATGGTCTTTTCTCGACATTTTTATCACTCAAAATCATAAGCAGTTTTTGCACGCCTTCTTAACCCTACCACTCTGAGGGCCCTAATTAAATCATCTATAAAAGTATGATCTCCCTATATCTTTGTAAAGTTTAATTACTCTCTTTTTCCATTAAAGCATTCCTTCTAAGAATTACATTTCGGTCTCTTTTGTTTTCTTCTTTTTTCTTAAAAGGAAATTCATTAAAAACCATAAGGAGAAATAGTTGCCAATAATTAGCTCTTTACCAAAGCACTTCCTTGACGTGCATTTAAAATCAACCAGATGAAGATTGGTGTCTCTCGTACGAAGACGCGGAACCAGGATTTAAAGCTTATGGGTTTGATATTAAGCTTATGGGTTCTAAATTATATATTTGTACATATACAACTACTAACGTCAGCTGCTTAGTTAACAGTTTATATACATTAGTCTTTTTAACAAGCTAGTAATATCAAGGAATCACATAGATAAGAATGGGAAAATTTTGACAATCAAATCAATTCAAGGGCCCAATTCCAAAGATTTTCTCCACAATTTGAAGAAGCAAAGGAATCCAGAGCAATGTGGAAAACGTGTTTTAACAAATGATTTAGCAAGAAATATTGTTATATGGATCAAATTTCTTAATTACTCGACTATCTCTCCTACATAATGATATATTGTGACCCGAAAATCATGTCAACAACAAATTAATCCGTCAGCAAACAAGAGTTTTTTGTTTTTCTACATATGAAGGAGTACAACCCATTTGAAAAGATAAGCCTCTCATTAACTTAAAATGACATAAAGTAGGCAGTTCATAGATTTATAAAACAATCAAGATCAAGGGGTAATATAACCACAACATAGAGAGTGGAAAGAAGTCACATAGACTAGGTTGCTCGTATCTTTCACAATGTTGTCTCACCCCTGCTGGATTCTCTAAAAGTGCATAATTATTGAAAGATTCGATACACCCTAGCAAGATTTTTGAATGATCAGAACAACATAGCACATAAATAACACGTCTATAATGAATCAAAGAAGAGCATAGAAAGAGTAGAAGGGTTCAAATTCCATCAGTAGCGTTATGTCCTCCTTCTCCTCCGCTGATGAAACAAAAGGGAAAAAAAAGGGACCCCCAAAAAATAAAAGAATCTACAACCATGCATCTTCCTAGCACATGCTTTTTGCATGCACGTAGACAATGTAGTTCAGATCCTCCAAAATGTTGTCATACCCCGTCAGATCCTGTAAAAGTGCATAACTTCTAAAAGATACGACACACTTCTAACAATATTTTTAAGAATCCGAGTAACATAGTGCATGCATAACACGTTTAGTAATAAATCAAGAAGAAGGAAGCTTAGAATTAGGGGTGGAATTGTGGGGGTAATAGGTGAAAGAAGCATGTTTTGTAAGCAAAAGAGGGCGATCTTTGGCTTCTTCTTCATCATCTTCGTCATGGAAAGTGCTAATATTGATGCAAGAGCAACGTACAAGGGAGGCAAAAAATGCAGATGCCACACTCGTCCCTATCCTATTTGCCATTTTATCCAATTTTTCGCAAGAAATAAAGTTGCAATTAGGCTGCGACATGGGGGAAAAAGTTTTAGTATATGTTTAATTTACTATACAAAATGGAGGCTTGAATGCGGTATTGAAAGTTTGAAAGATCCAAATCACCATTAGAGAGTATGGTGAGATGGATACGATCCTTCAACTTTGACCAAAAGTAAGATCTCAAATTTTGTGCCTAAGGAATGGAAAAAATTCATAGTGAATAGCTCTTTACCTTTAATAGGCTCTACGCGATAAATGTGGAGGACTAATGACATAATGAATTTTGAATAAGGAATGATTAAATAAAAAGATAATGAATTTTGTTAAACTTTAGATTAACTAGTTTGCTGACAAAATTTCACTCCAGTTGGATAGTTACGATTTACCAAGGATCTTTTTTAGTTACACATAATTAAATGGATAACAAATGAAAAAATAATAAATAAACAAAAAAGAGCTAAAATTATGCTGATGGACCTTTTCCGAATTATCGTTTATATTTTGACTCCATTAATGAAACTTTTTGGGAAAATAGCCATGCCCGAATCTTGAAAGGTAAGTTACACATTTGACCAATCAGCCAAAAACAATTACATCTGCTAGCTAAATATAATATATATATATATATATATATATATATATATTATACATCAATATACAAAAAATATATATTTTATCGGATATTGATTTTGGGAGTGCCTATATTATATAGTTTTCCCAAATTGTTTTTGAAGTACCATAAATTATGGTAGTATGCTTTATAATCTTAAAAGTGTGCTTCAAAATTTTAGCAGAGAGGTTATTTATCCAATTTTTTTCTTAACAAGGTTAAAATTTAAGCGGTTGCATTAAGCCATACATATATTATACACTAGTCTTAGAGTACGCGCTATGTGCGTAACCCTATTCTAATGAATATATAGTTTCAAAAACTTACATAAATATTAATATTAAAGAGTGTGTTTAAGTTTTTTATTTAATAAAAAGTTAAATAAAATAATATAAGTTTCTGAAAATCGTGATATTGATATCCATTTAGCTAGCTCAATAAAAGAAGAAATTATGCCCCCACAGAAGTCCTGATATGGCTGTGAATATCTTATGAATTTGTTGTTATTTTTGCCACTTAATAGAGAAAACAAACAAGTAACACAAACATGCTTTAATCACAAATCTTCAAAGATTTTGTCAAAATAATAAAATTAAAAAAATTGAATATTTCGGTC